CCCCAAAACCCCAAAACCCCAAAACCCCAAAACCCCTTATATTATTATAAATATTGAAATTTAAGAAGCAAAAATGGAAGGAAAGCCTCCACTACCTAGTGGCACTAGCAAATCTAATTTCAACAGAGATGCAAATAATGCTTCAGCTCCGATCTCTAGAGCTTATGACACTCCTAGCGATACTATTCAAGGAATGGCCGGCCCTACTCCTCATATGAAAAGAGGCAGCTCTAGAGGAAGCAATTATGGACCCATGGACGAGCCTAATGATCACATGTATATCAATGTGAATAGGAACCAGGGACCTAATATCCAGAGGTTACAGTCAACTGCGAACAAGACGAAACCTTTATTACCCTCTATAGGAAGAAACCAACCAGAAAGTTATAGAAGGACAGACCCTGATAATCCAATGGGCTATGACCCTGATGAAAATTTAAGGAAGCTTCGTAACAATGTCTATGCCAAACACAACTATGGCGACCAGGCTGATGATCCTTTTAAAGAAATAAATCTTCAAGAAATGAATGATGACGATGAGAGAGAACGCCAGAGGATAAAAATGCTTGAAGAAAACATCAATGCTCAAAAGACTGAAGTTGAAAAATCCAAGATGAAATTAGAAAAGAAGCAGTTATATGACCTTTACGAGCAAGAAACTAGACTTCTTGATCGCCTGGAACAAATCAAGAACTACAAAGAGGAAGAAGCTCAAATCAATGAAAAGTTAAGGAAAGAAGTAGTCAATATCAAGCTCAAGCAGAAATAAAGATGAAGAAGAGAAAAGGAACATTGACAGAATGGCCTGGAACCTTGAAAGAGACACTAAAATGGAGGAAATCGTCAAAATGAAACTTGAACTTGAAAGACTCCAGGACAACGCTAAATATATCGATGATGTTAGTAAGAGGAGAGAGCTCGAACTTGAACAAATTGATGTTGAGATGAAAAATAGGGATTTTGCATCAGCTGAATTGCTGCAAAAAGCTCTTAATCATGCGGATTATTTGCAAGATCAGATAGAAAGTGGTGCTATAGATGAGAAATACCAAGCTAAGCTTGTAAACGCTCTCTCTGGAGATAAGAATGACCCAGAAAACAAGAAAATGAGGGAAGAACTTCTTGAAGAGCTTAAAGCCAAGATCCTTCAACAAAAAGAACGAAAGACAATGGAAAATCAAAAGTTCATCCAAGATTTAAACATGAAGAGAATGCAGTTCTCTGAAGCTGAAAAGAAAATAAATGAGCAAAAGCTTCTTCATGAGGCATTATCTCGTAGAGGAGTTGACTTCCTTTCTGAACTAGAGCTAGGAACTGCTCCTCCAATGGAATATGTCATTAATAACCTTAATATTGAGGAGAAACAGGTGAACAGAAAGGAGCCCTTTAGCATAAAAGATGTAGTTGAGAACACAAAGAACACCTTAGAGTCCAATCATGAACGATTGGAAAGACTAAAGAGGGAGAAAATTGAGTCTGACTATTACGTCTCCAAGATAAGTTTCAAGCCAGAGCCTATCTTCATTCCAGAGGGCACACAAGAAGTCATCGACTATATCCTTGACATTGTAATTACGAATGCTTTTAACGAAGTATCGATGTATGATAAGTACGTTGAAGGGCTAAGGAAGAAAACTAGGGTTATGAGACAGAGAGAACCAGTCCAAGAAGCAAGAATTGGATTCTACTCTGATAGGATAGCAGTAAAGGAAGTCCATAAAAATTTCTTAGACCAATAAGTAGTGGTTGGAATGATAAGAGATATTGCTACAGAAGCCCAAAATGTCAATGAGTTAGCAAAAATGACCGCTTTGAACATTATAATAAAATCTTTCAAAGTCCAAAAGGATTCCAATATGGAAGATAATCAACTTGCTGGGATGATAATGTCAATGCAAAATCAGCAGAATAAAGAAAAGAAAAAGGATCTTCATCGGATTCATCACCAGCTGATTCCAGCTAGCAAGAATGTACTGATCAGGCCTAATAATATTAAAGTAAAGGAAGAGAAGAAGGCTAAGGAAAAGAAACCTAAAGACATTAAGGAAGAAAAAGAAAAACAAGATGATAAGGAAAGTAAAAAGCTGGATCCTTCCAAGTGTATCAACTCATTCCCAAGTGCCGATGTCATGAAGATGGAAGAAGAATTCTGGAAACGAATCGACATTAATGAAGTTTCATTCGTAGGAGGATCTCTTGGAAGATACAAAGGTGGAGTCACAGCTGTTCAAGTCAGTCATAACAGTAGACTTGTTGCAATCGGTCTCGATGCAGGATATATTCTGTTATATGACCTTGTATATCAATCAAAAGAAGAAGGAATTAAAGATAAAGGTCATGGATCTCCTTATCTGATCAGGGTTGTTTCTAATATTAAATCCTCAGTTGTTAATTTAGAGTTTTCTTATGATAATTATACACAATTGATAGCTACATTTGCTGATGGAACTGCTAAAGTGTATAATATCAATCAACATGCAGGGGGGTTAGACAAATTTAAATATGCCAAGAAAGATCAGCTTGCACAGAGAACTATCTTCCAGATGGAAGAAAAGATGTTTTTGAATTCAAGTTACTGTCTATCATTAGACGAAAGTAGCAACACAATTCTCGGCACAAGTTATAAGTTAGACATAACAACCTTTTTCCCTTCACTAACATTCACGGGAATGCAGCATTCATATATTTTTGCCTGTCAAAATGGTTTAATTGTTAAAATAAATTCGAATAAGAATGTACGAAATGAACAAATGAAAGTTGGATTATTTAATAGAGCTCTTGGACCGATAATAGCTCCAGAAGAGCAGAAATTTCCAAAGGGAAAATATCCTTTCTTCAGGCCAAAAATGCTTCCTGAGCCTGAGACAAAACCCCATATTGACCGAGAATTCTTCTCAGGCCATAATTCTCCAATTCTTTTACTCGGGTTTATAGAAGGCAGTCCAAACATAATATCTGTTGATCAGAGAGGGTACTGATTTATTTGGGAGTACAAAAAGAGTTCTTTCACAGATTTGTTAAACTTCAAACCAACAATCAAACTCAAAGTTGAGTTGAACTATACTCTCTTCATTCCTGAAGACTCTGAGCGGATCTTTCCTGCTAAAGGAGAAAGAGAGATAAATCCGAAGAGAGAGCCCACAGCCAGTGCTATGGAAAAAATTGGAGAATTCATGTCAGGAATAAACGTGCCTGAAATTATTGATAGCTCAAAGTGTACGATTCGAGATGAAAATACTAATACAACTCAGTTCTTCGTCCCTCAAACAGAACTCCCTGAGGAGTTTGGACTTGCAGATTTTATCGAGTATATCTTCAACTCTCAGAACTTTTGTATTAAAGCGGTTCACCAGAAGTTCCAGGCTCAGAAACATTCATGTCAGATAATTGGGGCAAAAATGTCAAAGGATAGGAAGTACGTAGTCTTCCATCTACTCAAGGACCACTTCCTTTCCCTAAAAGCACGAGAGAACCATGAATTCGTGGTATTTAGAATAATGGGTCAACGTCTAAATATTTTCAAAGTAACTCTAGATTTTGACAAGAATTCAAGAATCATGTATGAAATCAGCAGTGAGATTCCTCCATTTAACCTGCCTTACCTTTACGTAGTCAGAGGGACTTACATGCTGATAGTCTCTCTAGTGACAGGTCAGACTCTGAATCGGCTTAACTTTGGTGATCTCATCAAGGAACATATCAGCACATTACACACAAAGAAGGAGATAATATTTGATAAAATTGTGTCACACAATTACAAAAATCTGTTCCTGACCTCAAAGAAATTTGACACTGTAATGCAGATCAAGATGTATAACTCTATGGAGAGCTCTGAGATCGAAAGTTTCAGATCATTTGGACAGGTTTTGAACGGATGATGGGATGCTCCCAACACCCAGAAGTTGAAAGAAGTTATATCCCAACCCTTATTTTATGCAGAATAAGCAGAAATTTATTTTAAACATATTCAACCAGTCTGCAGCCTGGAGGGGTTTTGGGGTTTTGGGGTTTTGGGGTTTTGGGGTTTTGGGGTTTTGGGG